CAGTGCCCGGGTGGCTACCACAGCCCTCTCCCCCACTCTCCTCTCGGGAGGGAGAGACTCTCTACCCAGGCGGCCACCACAGCCCTCTCCCCCACTCTCCTCTCGGGAGTTCGGGCATGTGTGTACACTTACCTGGAGTGTTTTTCAGGCTGCCAAGTGCAGGACTTGAACTTTGGACTTGGCCATGTGGAGTCCAACACTTTAACCATGACGCCACCTGCCAACCCAGTTTTACACATTGTGTAAGCCAAAGGACCATACAGAAAAGCATTTGTTCTACTCACAGTATAATGGAAGACACTTCATTATCTAAATTAATGTGCTTTTAAACTGCCATATGTTTACATGTGGCATAAAATATTTGAAGAGGGACCAGCAGATGGCATAATGGTTACATCACTGGACTCCAGCGTGGTCAACCGCGATTTGAGTCCTGGACCCAGCAGCTCAAAACTCATGCCAGAATGTATGCATGTGTTCTCAAAGTCCCAAGGAGAGAATGGAGAAGGGATTGCAGCATGGCTGTTCCTCTCCTCCCCCCGCCTCTCTCTGACTTTCTGGCGGGTGCATGTGCCCTATAGCAAAAATCTCCAAAAAAAACCCAATAAAAATAAATAAAATATTTAAAGTAAGCATAAAGTAAAATCTAAAGTAAGATTTATGTATCTTGATATAAGTCCAAAACACAGTTTGTAAGACAATAATAAAGGGAGAATTGTAAAAAAAGGAGAATGAAAGTCAGTGTCAGTTTGAGTATCGTGGCTGCTTTTTACAACTATCTTTTATGTTCCTTAATTAGAGTTTTGTTTTGTTTTCTTTTTAGAGGCATTTTTGCTGGGGTATGTTCACTTGCTGGAGAGACAGAGAGAGACAGAAAGCAAGAAATCAGCCCCCAGGAGGGATGACCACACTGCTGTCCCTTCTCTGGTCTCCTCTCAGGATTTGGGGTACACATGCACACATGCCTGGTGTGTGTTTCCAGCTGCCGGGTCTGGGACTTGAACCATGGTCGACTGTGGGAGTCCAGCGACATAACCATTATGCCATCTGCTGGTCCCCAAATGAGAGTTTTTAATGTAATTAGTGTACACAGCTTCTCCCTCTGTTCCCAGTAACATCCAAGAGGAGGAGGTGCAGGGTATACTTGCATTGCTTGTTGTCTTGAACCAGTCGCAGAAATGCAGCTCCCCTTGTTCCACACGGCTTCCCCTTGGGTCCTGAAGCTGTGACTTCTGTGGCAGCTCAGCCTCTGGGAAGTCTCGGAATGCTCGCCGGAGCTCAAGTATACATGGGAGAAGGTCCAGCTGCACAGCCCGACCTGTCCTCACACTTCATGCTTGCCTCTCGTTGTTGACCCTCAGTCCTTGGGCTGGCAGCAGTGCTGGCCGCTGCTTCTCAGGAGGCCCTGACAGGTGGGCCTGGCCCTGTCTGGCAGGATTCGATCAGCTTGGCCAGGGCTGCTCATCTGTGGGGTCTGGCCACCAGCTCAGTCTTGGGTGTGCTGACCACTGCCCTCTGGGCCAGGCATGTAGAACCTGGACTCCCGAGTGTGGAGGCAGCAGGAGCTGCTCTGTACCTCTCACTGGAAACCTCACTGTGGGCTCTTTTTTGAAGGTTGGACAGATGACCCAGGCAGGTCTCCTGGAGCACCTGAAACTTGAGAATGTGTCCCTGTGCCATCAGCTGACAGAGACGCAGCACAGGTCCATCCGGGAAAAGGAGCGCATCGCAGTCCAGCTCCAGAGCATCGAGGTGAGGTGTTGGCACTTGGCGCTGGGCTGTGCTGCAGGGTCACGCAGCCTGTGTGTGTGTCACTACCAGCATGGTGTGCGCTTAGCTCTAAACACGCGTGGTGAGGGCTGCCTGCTTAGTCTGTGGGTCCATCCCTAAGAGGCTCTGAGTGGTCGTCCTCAGACCTGTCAGTGGTAAGGGCTCTTCCTGACAGCCCGCCTGGGCCTGACCAGGCATTGCAAGTGGCAGCAGTGCTGGCAGGGAAGAAGGGGTTCAGTACCTTGTGGCAGCGCCTCAGAGCCAGTGGTGGCGAGCATGTTTTTTTATTCTGAGCACCATGTGAAGTCACCGGTTACTGCCGGGAGCCCGCACAGTCTCCAGAGAGTAGGAACGGCAGCAGCTGTGACCTGGCCTCCAGTACTCACTCTTAGTTAGCTTGGAGACCTCTGGGCCATTGCTTAGCCTCTCCAAGACCTGTCTCCTCTTTTACAAAATGGGGATAAAAATGCCTACTTAATAGTGTTTTTGGAAAAAGTAAAGAAGAAAAATGTTAGGAAACATCTAGGCAGCGAGAAAAATAGTTGCTTTGTTTCTAGAAGGCCATGGGCTAATTTTGCCTTTCTCCATGGCTGGCCTGCTCCTCATCACTCTGCCCAAGGATGTTTGCCATGGATGATGGGAGAATCATGTCACATGGGCCATAATGCTCCATGAGCTCTGTGTGAAAGAACCGAAAGAAAGCTTTGAGTTATAAACTGATCTTTTATCCCTAAGAAGTGTACTTGGGTAGTAGGGTCTCGTCCATGCAGTCAGACGTGAGGAGTGCCCCCTGAGTTGCCGTGGCCCCTTGAGCTCTCTCACTACTTATAAGTGAGAGTGTCACGCAGTGCTCCTGTGGGAGGGTGTCCATGCCTCATGCTCTAAAATCCACCTTCAAGTGGGAGACGGCCAGAAAAGTTCATCCGTAAAACTGCTCTTTGCCTGCTTCTCACTTGGGTCAGGCCTTTGGGTCAGCAGGGAGGAGGACTAGCTCCAGGAGAGGAGGACCAGGCAGGAGAGGGGGACCAGGCAATAGAGGAAGATCAGCTCCAGGAGAGGAGGACCAGCTCCAGGAGAGGGGGACCAGGCAGGATAGAGGGACCAGGCAGTAGAGGGGTACCAGCTCCAGGAGAGGGGGACCAGCTCCAGGAGAGGAGGACCAGCTCCAGGAGAGGAGGACCAGGCAGGAGAGGAGGACTAGGCAGGACAGGGGGACCGCTCCAGGAGAGGAGGACCAGTTCCAGGAGAGGCGCTCTGTAGCCTGGCCTTTGCCTTCTGCCCCGCCTCCCAGGCCCCTGGGATTATAACTCATAGATGGTGTTGATAAGAGCGAGGTGCCTCTCAGCAGGGGTAGAGTTTGTGTCGAGTATGAGGCTCTCAGTCTGCTGTTGGCAATCCTGCTTTCCTGCTGTTCTTCCCCCCTTTTTTATGATAGGTACTTGCACACTCACCGCTGGGAGAAAGTACTCATCCTTGGGGGCTTGGTCATGCTGCAGTCCTCAGCCCTCCACTCTCCCTCCCATCGGGACCCTGGGAGTGTGCGCACCCAGGGTGTTGCCACCGGGGCTGGGATTTGAACCCATTGGTCATTGAGATCCGCTTCCTCTGCATGGACTTAATTGCTGTGATATGGGGCCAGCCCACATTTTCCTGCTTTTTAAAAACACCATTTCCTGGGCCCAGGCCGACATGTTGGATCAGGAAGCGGCATTTGTGCAGATCCAGGAGGCAAAGACAATGGTGGAGGAGGACCTGCAGAGGAGGCTGGGAGAGTTTGAAGACGAGAAGGCACAGCTGCAGAGGGTGGCGGACTCTGCAGCAGCCCTGGAGCAACAGCTGGAGCAGGCAAGTACCTGCTCCCCGAGGCCAGACCCCACGCCCATGTGTGTGAGTGTTCAGGGGTCCTCTCAGGCGTGTGCAGTCCGTGTCAGGTGAGCTGTCGAGTTCGCTCAGCAGTCGCATCCTCACGCTGTCACTGCTGTGCCCTGTATGTGCACTGGTTCTGGAGATGCTCTTGTGCACCCTCCAAAGTGCCCATCAAAGTTACTTAAAACCTGAACAGGAAAAATTAAGTTCTTAGAGTAGGGCTGAGTGGTGGTGTTGACTTGCTTGCTTTTTCTAGGTGAAGTTGACGCTGCAGCAGCGAGACCATCAGCTGGAAACCCTGCAGCAGGAACATCTGGACCTGATGAGGCAGCTCACCTCGACCCAGGAGAGCCTGCAGGCCCGGGAGCAGGCCCTGCATGACCTGCAGACACACTATGACGAGCTTCAGGCCAGGCTGGAGCAGCTGCAGGGAGAGGCTGCCTGCAGGGAGGACACGGTCCGCCTCCTGCAGGATGAGAAGATTGTCCTGGAAGTGGCTCTGCAAGCAGCCAGGAGTGGCAAGGAGGAGTTGGACAGAGGAACACGACACTTGGAAGAAGGTTCCAAGGAAACGTCAGAAGTGTTAGAGCAGCTAAGACAAGAACTAGCCATCAAGTCCAGCCAGGTATGCCATCTGCTGCCACTCCGTCTCCATCCTTAATCGCACTTACTGGCGTGGGGACACTTGTGGCGTGGCTGTGTTACTGACAAATGTGGAAGCCCTCTTCCCGGCAGGCTCAGGATTGGCTGGGGAATGGACCACGCCTGCTGGTGGCCCAACGTTAGCTATGGGTGTAGGGAGCTCAGAGCTGGAGAGAGCTTGTTATCCACCACGGAACACCAGTTTTTGTTCCCTGACAGTGGAGAGCTCAGGGTTAGGAGAAGCAACAGGAGATGGCATTTCCACTCCTTGCACCTGCCTGCACGTGGCACCCACTGGCCACGCCAGCAGTACTGCTGTGGTGTGAGGCAGCAAGTGGGAAGAGAGCTCACATTGGGACCTGCTGACAACACACCGCGGGTCTGGTGCATGCCTCGCACACAGGTAGCACCTGGGGAGCGCTGATGCACTAGCAGCACAGAGTGGCCAAGGTGTGTGCCATGTGGTCAGAAATGTGGGCAGGGTGGAAGAGCTGAGGGGGGTGTGGAAGAAGTTGAGTCCACACTGGAAAGTGTCTGAGCCCCCACTCTGCGAGGACCGAGGGGGAGAATTCACAGCTGATTTTGAGGGCGAGGCCCAAGGAGGCCGCCACTGCCCAGCGTTGGCCCACAGCGGCTGTCTCTTGGGAGGTGCACTCTGGTGGGCACCCTGCTGCTGCAGTGTGTTAGCTGCTAGAGAGCTGCAAGGGAGCAGTCAGACATCTTTTGAAGAGTTCAGATCTGAAGTTACTGACCGTCAGCTCAGTTGGAAGGACATCGCAGACGCTCGGAGGTGGAGAGGCCCAAGAGTGAGCAGACTGTCCTGGAGGTGGCTCTGCAGGGGCCATGCTGGGAGCCCAGCTGGAGGGAGACGAGTGCTCTGGGACAGGGCCCTGCCGTGTTGCGACCCCCCCAGTTAGCAACGATTACCAGTACATGCACAGCCCGCAGCCTGCTCAGATGGGGCCATGTGGCCTCAGCTCACGCGGCAGCACCCTCCCTCCGAGCCACACGCCCGGGCCACCGTTCGGCTCCTTGGACCTTTGTCCTGTGCTAGAGCTGCATCCCATGAGCTCCTCTGCCTCTGCCCCTCTGGGCTCCTCATGCAGCCTCTGACTCAGTGGGTCTAGGGGCATCCAAGACCCCACTCTTTTCTCCAGCTCCCAGACAGTGTGAGTAGTCTGGTCTCTGACAGGCATCAAGTGCAGATGCACCCTGTGGACCTGGCATGCCCTGGTTTGTAAGCTAGGCCTCACAAGAACACAGTTTGCTTGTGGGTGTGCGGCAAGAAGAGAACTGAGAAGCCACAGCAGTTGGTTCGACTGTGGAGCCCAGGCCCACTCCATGGCCATGTCCAGGGAAGGCTTGCTAGCCCCAGGTCTGGTGCCCCCTGGGTCCTCCCATCATGTACCTACCTGATCCTGCCCTCATTTTGAGCTTTTAGTGCTGAGGAAGGAGAGTGCAGTGTTTGCCTGAGTGGGTTTTAGGAACCTTCAGCTTATGTCATGTTGCAAATCCATCTTCTGTGCCCTGGAAGCCCAGCTGACCCTTAGGAAAAGCCAGTGGCAAAGGGCCCTCCGGGCCATCAGTGTAATGTCTGTATCCTCGTAGGTGGAACACCTGCAGCAGGAGACTGCTACTCTGAAAAAGCAGATGCAGAAAATTAAGGAACAGTTTCTTCAGCAAAAGGTAAAAATGTGTTGCTGCTGGCTTTCTCCCTGTAAAACCAAGGCAGGAGCAGTCCTGTGTGATTTCCTTGTTCCAAAAGAGGGAGACTGACAAGTGAAAGGTAACATCTAGATCTCTTTCCTATAGAGGGTTATTTAATTTTATTTATTATTATTATTAATTTGTCGAGACCTGTTAGGCAGAATGGGAGTGACAGTGGATTTTGGAAAGAACACTCACACAGACACACATAGAGCAAGACGGGGATCAGGTGGGCAGCCACTGTTGGTGGACAGTGCTCCGGCCCTGAGCCTTCCCCAGGCTTGTTCTTTATAGGGCAGTGGGAGAGGGAGAGACGGGAGGTAAAGCGAGGTGTCTTCTTTTATCAGCTGTAGCTGTGTCCCTTGGTCGAAAAGAGCCCTACGTGGCCTTTTCTGGCTAAAACAATTTTCTTTATCGTCTGCCGGCTGTGCAGCATTGGCCCAAGCTAGAGAGTCTGTCCTCTGCTTGTCTTTAAAGGTCACTATTATTTAGCTCAGATCTGGCTCTTCCCTACATTAATTTATTTGAAAAATTTTGCTATAGGGCACTTGGGCTCACCAGAGAGAGAGAGAATGCAAGCTACCCAGGTCTGGGACTGCATCTGCAGTTAGGCGTGTGAGAATCCCGCACTTTAACCACCACTGCCCCTGCTGGCCCCACATCTGGATTCTCTCTGTTTTTAAAAAAATTTTTGAGAGGTTTTTGCTATAGGACGTGTGCGCTCACCAGAAAGAGAGAGACAGAGACAGAAAGTGAAAAATCACTCCTGTGGGGGGATGGCCTCATCGCAATCCCTTCTCCTCCATTCTCCTCTCGGGATCTTGGGCACGCACACACACGCGCCCGCCCACATCTAGATTCTTTAAGTTTTTGTTTTGTTTTAATTTTCCTGTAAGGTATGTGTGCTCACCAGAGAGAGAGAGAGAGAGAGAGAGAGAGAGAGAGAGAGAGGAAAATGAGAAAGCACTCTTTTGGGGAATGGCCATGTGGCAGTCCCTTCTTCATTCCCCTCTCAGGACTTTGGGCAGACACACACACACACGTGCTTGGCATATTTTCAAACCACACAGTTGGGCTCCAGCTTCCATAACCACCATACCAGCAGCTGGACCTGGACTCTTGAGGTTATTAAAGCACTTGATTGTAAATACCCTCCCTGCCCTGTTAATCCTCGGGTTGGGGTACATCTCCACAGTGAGGGGGTGTCTGGTCCCCATCGGTCTCAGTGGCAGCTGTGACACCGTCATTGTCACTCCAGAGGGTGTTGCGTGTTGTTAGTATAGGTTGCATTTGCTGCTTAAATTGTCTTTTGAAGGACCAGTAGATGGCGTAATGGTTATGTCACTGGACTCCCATATAGTCAGCCACAGTTCAGGTCCCAGACCGGCGGCTTAAAAATTCAGGCCAGCTCTTGTACATGTACCCAAGATCCTGAGAGGAGAATGGCGGGAAAAGGGAATCCCGGTGTGGCCACGCCCATCGCAGGTGATTTCTCCTTGTCTGTCTCTCTGGCAAGCACACACACCCTCCAGCAAAAAATCTCTCTTAAAAAAAAATAAAAATAAAGTGTCTTTTGAAAAACACACCACAGTCCAAATTGAAACAAATTGTGATACACCCAGGAAGGCATGGAGGAGGGTTTTGCATTAGACAAGCCAGTGCCTCTGCTGGAGAAATGACTCTGACGTGGTGGGATGTGAGGATGGGAGATGCCGTGCAGGGCTCTGATTGTGGCGTATCTCATCACTGAGGTACAAGCCAGAGGTTGCTTGTCAGAAGCCACCCAGTGTGGGAACCAGCAGTTAGCGTAATGGCTATGTCGCTGGACTCCCACGTAGTCGACCGTGGTTCGCGTCCGGACTCGGTGGCTTAAAGTCACGCTGGGCGCGTGTGCATGTGTGCCCAAGATCCCGAGAGGAGAATGGAGGAGAAGGGATTGCGGCGTGACCATCCCCCCTGGGGGGTGATTTCTCGCTTTCTGTCTCTATGCCTCTCTCTGTCTGTCTGGCGAGCACACACGCCGTATAGTGAAAAAAACCTCTCCAGAAAAAAAAAAAAAAACCCCCCCAAAAAAAAAAAAAAAAAAAGAAGCCACCCAGTGTAACCAGCAGCAGAAGAAATCGCCAGATTCCTCATAATGGGCAGGATGTCAGCCACTGGCACGGGAACTTCCTGAGTTACAGACTCGGGGCACAGTGACGTCGCCAGATGCATAAATGACGGTGGCTTAGATTCGATGAAGTACGTTGTCCTTGGCCCAAAGTTACGCCCTGGATAGGTGGGCAGCCTGACTTGGAGGAAGACCCCGCCAAGTGTTGGCTTATAGCCTTTGTCTTGTCCGGCAGGTGATGGTGGAGGCCTACCGGCGGGACGCCTCCTCCAAGGACCAGCTCATCAGTGAGCTGAAAGCCACAAAGAAGAAACTGGACTCAGAGATGAAGGAGCTGAGACAAGAGCTGATCAAAGTGCATGGGGAGAAGAGGGCCGTGGAGGTGGAGCACTCCCGCCTGCAGAAGGACGTGTCCCAGGCCCACCAGCGGATGGCCGAGCTCGAAGGGCACCTCCAGTCAGTGCAGAAAGAGCGAGACGAGATGGACGCACACTTACAGGTCTGCGGAGGGTGCCAGGCCGCTCCGTTGGAACAATGGAGTTGGGCATATGTGCTTGGGGACCTCCCGTGTGCAGGTTTGGGTGGGGATTGGTGGACAGAGGCTGATAAAACACGCCAGAGCTGGGCTTCCTGGTGTTCATGCCCTGGTGGGCAGACAGGTGGGTCTAGGCAGCAACTTTATGGTGAAGGGACAGAGCAGAGAGCAGCTGCAAAGGCCTGTGGGCGGCTCTGCTCTTACTGAGGTTCTTGGGAGCCAGCCTCAGAGCCAAGAGCTGCCCCAAGATGCTTTCTGTGGAGACCCCCAGTCGGGACAGGGCCCTGGGCTGGAGTGGTTGTGACCTCTTGGAAGCTACACAGGTGAGAGCTGGGCTTCCCTCTGAGCAGAGTAGAAGCTGCAGGGCAGGAGGATGAGGAGGCAGAGCGTGTGGCGTGTCAGGGAAGAGACCTCAGTGCAGTTAGGGTCCAGACATACAGGCAAAGGGGTGTTTCCTATGATGAGAAAGCCGGGAATGGTAAACCCAAGAGCGGAAGGAAGGGCATTCGGTGAGGGCCCTGTCAGCATGTACTCTGGGCGGCAGGGAGGGCAGGCGGAGACCTGTGTGGGACCCTGTCTGCATGTGCTCTGGGTGGCAGAGAGGGCAGACGGAGACCCGTGTGGAGCCCTGTCAGCGTGTGCTCTGGGCGGCAGGGAGCGTAGGTGGAGATCCATGTGGGGAGGCCCTACGAGGAGGATTCCTGTGAATTGGCATGAAAATGGGGAGGAGGTGTCAGTGAGCGTTGGCATCAGGTGGATGGGACCTGGCTGAGGGGACAAGGCAAGTGTCTGGAGAGCGAGGGAGGCCGGGGACAGGCCTGCTAAGGCCCCTCGCGTGCATGTTGCTGTGACTGAGCTGGTTCTGGAGACCCGCTTCCTCCCACGGGGAATGGGAAAGGCAGTGGCAGGGCAGAGGGAGGACGAGGCCTCTGCACAGTCACAGCTGAACCTGAGGAGCTCCTGGGGACTGTGGGGAGGGGTGGTCCTGGGGTCTCCAGGCAGGTCCACAGGGAGGGCTCTCCCGTCAGCCTCGGGACGAGCAGCCAGCATGTTCAGGGCAACGCGGTGCCTTTTCCAAAGGCAGACACGTGGGAACTGCTCCTGAGCCAGTCCCTGGGCGGCCTCAGCGTTACTGTTTGCCACAAGGGCTTGGGGCGTGTGCTGGCGAGGGGCTCTGACTCCTCAAACCGCCTCCCTCCTTCTCCCCCCAGTCTTTGCAGTTTGATAAAGAGCAGGTGGTGGCTCTTACAGAGGCCAACGAGGTGCTCAAGAAGCACGTAGAGGAGCTGCAGCACGAAGCCAAGAGGTCAGTGTGCTCCGGCCAGCCCCGCCGTGGTCACAGCCCAGGCCGAGTGCCACGTCCTCATTTAAAGGCCCGTCGTGATTTGCGGCTGCGTTTCTGTGGGGCAGTCCCAGGGTTATGTCGACCTGCCTTTAACAGGAGCTCACCCCTTTTGCTTTTATTTTCACGTAACTCTGTGGGTCACATCCATAACCTCCCCCAGTCCCAGCCCCCGATCAGGGCCGGCCCTTTGGCATTCATCCATCACCCTTGTGTGCTCGTGTAGCCTCACATGCATGGGCCATTTGTACACATGTGTACATGCCTGCACAGACAGCCTCGCAGGAGCCTTTGCCCTGGCGCCAGGTCCTGAGCTGCGTTGCTTCTGTCGGTTGGTGACTTAACCGTTAATCGGATCGTCTGCAGGTGGACGCTGCAGGCACTTCTGTCCAGAGGGGCCGACTGTCCCTCTGCTGTCACACAGTCATATTGAAGCCCCTGCAGCAGGAGGGACCGGTGCTGGTGGTGGGAGTGGTAGAAGTCACTGAGGCTCACCCCTGAGGGCACCTTGGCTTGGTCTGTCCTCCCGCCCAGTAGCAGCCAGAGCAGGGCTGGCAGATGCTTACTCCATGTGGCCAAGGGCCCATTGGGTTCTGAGGCAGGTGACAGCGGTGGAGCCTGAGGCGGCCTTTCTAGAACCTGGGGTCTGAGTCACTGTGCCAGCCCTCGGAGAAGCTTGTGAAATACGTTCCATGTTGCCTGATGTTGCGTCCCAGGAAGCTGGGTGGGTGCATGGCGGTCAGTTCAACACCCTCTGTGCCCCAGGGCCATCACAGAGCAGAAACAGAAGATGAAGCGACTGGGCTCGGACCTGACCAGTGCCCAGAAGGAGATGAAGACCAAGCACAAGGCCTACGAGAACGCAGTGAGCATCCTCAGCCGCCGGCTACAGGAGGCCCTGGCTGCAAAGGAGGCTGTGGATGCAGAGCTGAGCCAGCTCAGAGCCCAGAGCAGTGGCGGTGGTGATGACCTCGTGCTACATGTAGGTAAACATGACCACCCAGTCAGAGTTGCTAAGCCCCTCAGGGCAAGGAAGATGCGTTTCACAAACGTTTCCCCCAGCCCCCAGGGTGCAGGAGGAGGTGGGTGGATGCTGTTCAGCAGCATTTCTTTAGGGTGCTGATTGGTGGCGGCATCCCAGTGACCACTAGTGCTTGTGTACATGTCTCCTTCAGTCCTCATACACGTGTGTGGTCTGCGCATAAGGGAGCCATCGTTGGGGCCCTCCATGGTTCAGAGAAGTCCAACTGCCCCCTGCGAAGGGCAGAGGCAGGCCCGCAGCCCAGCTTCTCCTGCCTGTCCGGGGTCTGCAGCTTCAGCGCAAAAGAGGAAGTGGGAGCTCGTGCTTGCTGAGAGGCTGGAGTGAGGCACGAGGGGTCAGAGCCAATGTCTGGCTTTTGGAGGAGATGACCCGGAAGAAATGGAGGCACTGGAGGGACAAAGGGGGCATCATGGGAGATGGGCTCCCTGTGAGGTCTGTGAGAGACAAGCCAGGTGCCCTGCGCTCTCTCACCTGCACTAGCAGGCCTCATGTTCTCCCTGAGTGAACGCGTTTGCCTTCCCTGTTCTCCAGCCTGCACCGCCCCACTGCTGCCCTGTAACCGGATTTCTTATACACAGTTCGTTTGTTTCCTGTCCACCTACACACTTTGAGTGGAAAGGGCCTGTATCATAGCAGTGTTCGCACTCACCTGGCGACTTCATAAAATTTGTGGGGGAGTGGGGACCAGGAGGTGGCATAGTAGTTGTGTCAGACTGCCACATGGCTGACCACGGTTCCAGTGTGAACATCACACCGAGTAGGCAGACTGCCACTTGGCTGACCACGGTTCCAGTGTGAAAATCACACTGAGCAGGTGTGTGTGCATGCCTAAAACCCCAAGAGAAGGGTTAGTGGTATGACCTTCCCTTCTGGGAGATAATTTCTCACTTTCCCTCTCTCTGTCTCTCTCTGGCATGCACCCTATGGCAAAAACCTTTTAAAAAAATCAAGGGGTAATTATTCCATTGCCATTTTCCTTTCTCCTTTAAACCATATCTATGCTGGATTTTAAGCCTACAGACCGAATGATAAGGGCAGCAGCTGGGAGGCGCACGGTAAAGCCTGTGCTCCTTCTGCCACAGCCAAGGAGAGCACGCCCTCAGGCACCGTTGGGGCTCAGCCTGCAGCTCCACCACCTTCGGGAAGTCACTTGCCCTTCTGTTCCTCAGTGGGCTGAGGTCAGAAAGGGCAAACAGTAAAGTCTCCCTTGTTTGATGGTTCATTACAGTAAGTGTTCATTACAGGGCATGGGATGCTGCTTACTTGCCAGAAATGTTCATCTCTAACTTCAATGTGCCGGTCAGGTTTTCTTCTGTATTTTCAAAGCATTTAAGCAAACATTATTTTGTACTGTGACTTTGTATGCTATCTTTGTGTGCACTGTGGTGACTTAATTCAGGGGAATTAGGGAGGTTAGGTGCAGCAGGTGGCATGGAGATTAAGCCACTGGATCCCAAGAAGCCGACTTTGCAAGTCAAGTCCTAGACCCAGTGACTTGAAAATCACTCTAGGCATGTGTACATGCATGCTCAAAATCCTGAAGAAATGGAGGAGAAGGAATTATGGCATGGCCATCCCCCCTAGGGGGTGAGTTCTCACTTTTTCTCTCTGTCTCTCTCTAGCAAGTACACTCACCCTATAGCAAAAACAAACAAAAACAAAAAGAAAGAGAATATGTAAGAATACATTTGGGGACCAGCAGATGGCGTAGTAGTTAAGGTGCTGGATCTCACATGGCTGGCTATGCAGTAAAGTCCTGGACATTGTAGGATGTTAAAAAACATGTTGGGTAGGACCAGCAGATGGCATAATAGTTCCTCGCTGGATTCCCACGTAGTTGACCACGGTTCAAGTACCAGACCTGGGGGCTTAAAACCCACACCAGGCACGTATGCGTGTGTACCCACAATCCTGAGAGGAGAATGGAGGAGAAGGGATTACGGCATGGCCATCCCCCCCCGGGAGATGTTTTCTCGCTTTCTGTCTCTCTGTCTCTGGCAAGCGCATGTACTCTATAGCAAAAATCTCTCCAAAAAGAAAGAGAAAAACAGTTGAACTACTTGTGTGTGCATGCCCAAACTCCTAAGAGGAGACTGGAGAAGTGATTGCTGTGTGGCCACCTCCCCGGGGGCGGGGGGGGGGTGTGATTTTTCATTTTCCCTCTCTCTCTCTAGCGAGTGCACACACTCTATTGCAAAAACTTTAAAAAAAAAAAATGAGAAAGAAAGAAAAGAAAAAAATACATATATATTTGGAGCCAGTCCGATGGTCCAGTGGTTCAGGAAACCAGATTCCAAATGGCTGACCATGGTTCAAGTCACAGCCTGGTGGCTTGAAAAATATGGGGCGTGTGTGTATGCCTGAATCCCGACAAGATGAAGAGAAGGGACCACACCCCATTAGGGAGTGCTTTTTCTCCTCTTTGTCTGTGTCTCTCTCTCTGTAGTGGGCCCGTATTCCCCCTGACAATTAAAAAGAATGCTTTTGGAGAGTGCAGGCATGTCACCACCAGGCAGATGTGTCCACCCAGCTTCAAACCTCAGGTGCCATGGTGAGGGTGAGGGCGCAGCTGTCAGGCGGCAGGAGCTGCTCAGCAATGCACGTTGTGTCCTGGCTGCCAGGAGAGGGTGCGGGCCCTGGAAGTGGAGCTGCAGGCTGTCAGCCAGAGCAAGGAGCTGCTGGAGAAGGAGCTGCAGGAGGTCATCGCCCTGACCAGCCAGGAGCTGGAGGAGTCCCGAGAGAAGGTGCTGGAGCTGGAGGATGAGGTGAGCCATGCGTGCCCTACCACAGCAGCTGGTGGACAGGCTGCTGGGACCCAGCCCAGAACATCAGTACCCAGAGTGCTCAGTGGCCCAGCATGGCACTGCATCAGCTCCGGCCGCAGCCCTCACGCTCTGCCAGAGCAGGCTCTGCCCTCAGCACACAGGCGAGCGTGGTGGCATTTGTGGGCTCTGTGGCAGGGTGGCGCCTGCAGTTTAGAAGCCAACTTAAGCCTCAAGAAAACGCCCTAACTTGCAGGCTTGGACAGTTATGCTCCCCATGGTGCTAGCAGCCCCCTTGTGCTCACATCAAGGCTCTTGCCACTGACCCCCGACACCCTGTTTCCCAGCCCTTCGGTCGCTCACTTCAGGACTGTTTGTTCTGTCCACCCATCTCTGTCCCATCCTGAAACACTTTTCTAAAACCAGCCTGGTTCCATGGTCATCATCCTGCTGAGCGGCCAGACTCGGTGCCTGGATGGAGCTCCCCAGAATCACACGGCTCTTGGCCATGACGGGAGATGGGGCTGGGGGAACAGGTGACGAGCCTTTCACATTGGAACGAGGGGGGTTTGTGAGCTGTCCATCGATGTGTCTTAGTTTTACTGAAAACTACTTACCTCATTCTAGTATATGACAATCCCATTAATTAGAGCATATAATTTTAGTGACTTTTATGTGTTTCAGCTTCAAGAATCCAGAGGCTTTAGGAGGAAGATAAAGCGCCTTGAAGAGTCAAATAAGAAGTTGGCTCTTGAATTAGAACACGAGAGAGGGAAGCTTACCGGCCTCGGGCAGTCTAATGCAGCTTTGCGGGAACACAACAGCATCCTAGAAACAGCTTTGGCCAAGAGGGAGGCAGACCTGGTCCAGCTGAATCTTCAGGTAGCCACACTCATTTACAGAAGCAGGACGAGAGCTGCTGTATGCCAGGCCACACCCTTGATGTCTTCCCTGTCTGGTCATCCATGCTTACTTCCCTTTCAGGAAAGCACATACCCCATCCGAGATGTGGGGACAAGCCCAGGGAACCTGCTCCGTTCACCCCCTCGGCTTTCGCAGCTGAGGGGTGCTGCTGGGCTTTGAGCTCAAGGCTGGGGCTCTCCCGTGTTCTAGAATACAAGCACTGAGTTCACTGATTCTTTTTGGAGGATTGGACAGCTGCTGGTATAGGGGGAGTGCCTTTTAATTCCAGGTGGAAATGGTGTGTGGAGGACACCGCCCCAAAGACCTCTTGTGATTCAGAATTAGGATTTGAACCCTGGCTTCCTTCCAGACTCTGTCCTCAGCCCCTGAGGGTCTGCAGCCTCTGCGAGCTGTAGGTCAGACAGTCGAGGGAAGCCAGCCTTGATCACAGCACTCCTGTGCTTTCCTACCTGGCTCCCTCACCATGCCCTGGGAGCCTTGGTGTGAAGGTGTCTGCACTCCGATTCCCACGAGTCTCCTGGTTCCTGGCATCTTCTTGGATATGATCCAATAATTGGTCTCCTACATTTTCAGATTTTCTTTTTGTAACCATGTTCTCCAGAGATGGGGTCATGTCTGCTTCTCTGGATGATGGTACATGGTGACATGTGCCCCCCCCCCCCCCCCCCCATGTTTCACACTTTTCCCGTGC